ACACTTGCTAATTCTAGGTACTGTTCCAGCACTTTGCCCATGTAATCTTATGATACATCCGCAGAACTTGCAGGGTGTCACCATAAAGCAAACATTCACAACGAGTCCCGCTACTTCTTTACACTCATTCTCTAGGGCCGGTTCCTCCCCTGCTCTGTGGTGGATATCTTATGGCATATCCCACGACTTTTCTGGTCACTCTTAGGAGATAAAAATCCCATAGCTGCTCTAGTATCCCCAAACAGCCCAGGTTCAGCAATTAAAATGTCCATTCCAACGTGATGGTCAAAGCTTCTCAAGTTCATTTAGAGTTGAAGCTGCTTCTGCCACACTCCCTTCCCCCTTCATCTGCCCCCACCTCCCTTGGACCTTGGGCAGACTGGAAGACTGGTGGGCAGGGCCATGACTTCCTTTGGTTGTGGGGAAAGCACTCCTCGCTCAGCCCTAGACGCCATCCTGGAAGAGAACTACCCTGTATCCCAGGGCTGTGTGCTCCTTCCCTCCTGTGTGGCCTACTTCTGGCCTATTGGAAACAAACACTTCAATGTCAAGAGTAGGGTAATAAATAATAAACTTTCTTCTGACAAACTCTGGGAGCATGGGCTTCGCTAACTCAGAAACCTCTCTTGAGTGCTGGGGCTGGACCCAGTCTCTCACCCTTCAGATTTTTCCAGGTGTGGGTATGACCTCAGTCCTCTATGTCCAGCAGGTTGCAGGGTTCACTTAGTCTCTCTCTCTCTCTCTCTCTCTCTCTCTCTCTCTCTCTCTCTCTCCTCTCCCTATTATAATTCAGTGTAGAAACATTTCATACTTAGAAGAGACCACATGGTGTAGTACTTAGATACAAACACTCTGGGATCAAAATCCCAGATAATGCCAGCTCAGCCATGTACTAGCTGTGTGATCTAGGGCGGGATACTCCAAGCATTCTGTACCTCAGTTTCCTTACCTGCATAATAGGGATGATAATAGAGGCTACCTCATAGGATTTTTAGAAAGATTAAATCAGATAAAATTTATAAAGTGCTTTGAACAGTTCCCGAGACACTTTAGGCATCACAGAAGTATTTGTTAAATAAATATCAGGTGGAAAAAAATGTTTGAATAGTAAATAACAAAGGTCAGTTAATGGCAACTTTACCAGGCACTTTAAATATCAGGAGTTCTGGGTCCTTCCAGTCCAGTCAATTTTGGATGATGCCCAAGCAGAACCTGCCTACAGCCACATGGCCGGTGTCATAGGAGGGTCTGCGGGTCTTGTAACACAGTGTAAAATGCATAGTCCTGTTTTAGTCCAAGTGCTAGGAATGCTAGCAAGCATGAGTCGAGGAAGGGTGACTCAGGTTATCAGAAGGGATGGGCACAGCAAGAGTTCCCAGACACGACTTTTCAGAAAGGGTATCTGGGAAAAACAAAGCCAGGGGTGGGCATCGAGGGCACATTTCACACCCTCTGCCAGCCCTGCAGCCTGGCTCTCCCACGTCTTGTTTTGCTCTGTTCCTTGCTATCTCTGCAGGGAAGGGATGACCTCGTGGATTATGGGACATTCTGAGTATCTTGAGACAATTAATTATCCTACTCTTGACATGCCTGAAACACAGAGAGATTATGCAACTCAGCCAGTCACGTAGCTGGGTCAGATCTGCCGACTCCAGATTCATGTTTAATCTGATGAGATTCGCCAGTGTGCTGTTATCCCAGCATGGATTTTGTTTAGTCACAGAAGCTGCTAACATAATTTCAGAAATGTGTGGCCAGGGAATCCGGGTCATCTGGTGAAAATGACATTACCAGGAAACTAAAACACTCAAAGTCCTGGAGAAAGTTGTGCGTCAGGATTAAGTAGGGGAAAAAATAAAATCAAAACAGGACCAGAAATCAGCTGTGTATATAAACAAAAGGGAATTGATTTACTATGAAAAATATGAATATAGGACAAAAGTATTACTACTTCACTGATACCTTCTAGAACATACTAAGGTTGGTGCAGCCTCCAATATTTAAGATAGCATGAATTCAGAAGAAACAATTTATAATTGCATATTTGCGTTTATGTTTGAGTAACTGGCCATTTAGGAATGTACTTTAAAAAATAGTTTTGTGAAGACTCAAAGGAAGTTGGAAAAATACTCATCTTTTATTTCCTATTCCTTCCCAGTTCGCTGGTTCCCACTGAGTGGGACAAAAGGTGGTGGAAAGAGAATGAGCCTGGAATTATATAGACCTGAGTTCAAGTCCTTACTCTACTATAAACAGCCTGGCTTTGAGCAATTTGCTTAGCCTCTTTGGCCTTCAGTTTCTTTATCTATAGAATGGTTATAATATTGACCTCGCAATACTGAAGTAAGCAAAGCCTCATGCTACATAATAGACACCCAGTTAGGTCTGGACTATAGCATATCTTAGACTTCCTGAAAATGCCAGTTCAAGATGGACTTTTCAAAGGCCTGACCCTGATGCAAAGATAGACAGATACGTCCACAGAACAGAATAACAAGCTCAGAAATAGGACTGCACATATGTGGTTAATTGATTTTGCAAATATTCCAAGATTATTCAATGGGACAAGGACAGTCTTTTCAACAAAAGGTGCTGGAACAATTGGATGTCCACATGCAACAAATAAATGAACCTTGACCCCATGCCTTGCGTCATATACAAAAGTAACTTGAAATGTATTAAAAACCTAATTGTATGAGCTGAAGCTATAAAACTTCTAGGAGAATAATAGGACAAAATCTTTGTGAGCTTGGGTTAGACAAAAATTTCTTAGGATACCAAAAGTACAAACCATAGCAATTTTTGATAAATTGGACTTGAACAGCATAAAGAAACATTTGCTCTTCAAAAGACACTGTTAAGAAAATGAAAATGCAAGCCACAGACTAGGAGAAAGTATTTGTAAAATGCATCTATTTCTTTAACACTGTTGTCTCCTGAAACTGTGGCACAGAGATGTAATTAATAATTCTTGTGCGCCCTCATCCTCCTCCCTCACTCTTTAGGCCACTGTTCCCTACCATACTTCTCATGATATTGTTATGAGTGAGGGCTGGAGAGAAGATTGGGGTATGCGTTATGACATTTCAAGCTCCACACCTTCAATTCCATTCTTGGCAAAAGAAGAAAGAACAACAATGAAAAATCTGGACACAGGCACATGCCCATCAGGAAGCAATCTGAAGCCCTTGGTAGCAACAGGACACTCTCAACAGTGACAACAAAAAGCACAGATGAACATACACATATGGCAAGATATGGCCCTAAGTGCTGTGCTTGCATCATTTCATTTAACTGTCGGTGAGTCAGCATGGAGTCCGGGAGGAAGCAGGGTCACCATCCGGGCCGCCAGTGAGTTTCATTTGGGCCGTTCTTTCCCTGATACCTGCAATGGATTTTGTTCTTCCCATGTCTCTGAAGTGCTTTGTCCTTTGGAGTTCATGCTGGATTCATCCATGTCTTGTCTTGGTTTTACTGTCTTGGGACTGTTGGCTCAATTCAGGGGATTTATCTTTGAAAATTCAGCCTCTGTTTGGCTTCCTGGCACCATGCTTTGCACTTCCTTGCTCCTTAATTCTGGTAACCCCTCCCCCCACCTCCTCTCTCTGCTTCCCCTAGGCTTCCATTTACAGTGTTTGATCATCCCTGGGCGATTATGAATCTCATATGTCCCCAGGTACTCAATCAACAATATTGGGATCAATAGTCATCCTGCTCATAGGTCTTTCTTTTCTGCTGTCCTTGACAAACCACTGTATGCATAGCTGAAGCTGGAGGTCCTCAGATACTTAAGATGAATACAGATTGGAAAGGTCATGTCTACCTTTGCCAAGGTAGCTGTGGAGTTTTAAAAATATTAATGTAACTGTGAGGATGTCTTTATTGGTGAGCAACGTTGCAGTGTGTGGATGGTCTCAGTGTTGGGTTGTCAGCAGTTGATACTTCAGAGTCAGCTGGGGATTTGAGGGTGAGCACAGCCCAAACCATAGGTGAGTGGACTGGTGGGGACCTCAGCAGCATGTGCTCATCATCCCGCTCTTTGCACAGGTGCCCTAAAACATTCGGGCCAGGTGCTGACCCAGGTGGGTTCAGATAGCAGCACTGGAAATCCCAGGCTTCTACTCAGTTTCATGTAACAGCAGCCGAACCACGAGAGAAGCTTTTTCTAGAACTGATTCCCCAAGACCGTCTGACTGCAGTTTATGGGCCACAGGCAACTGGGGCAGAGCCATCCTCTCAGTTTACTTCAACTTGAATGAGAGGCTCTCAGAATAAACATCCCGGGAAGCAGATGGACTGACATCAAAGTCTTCAATTCCTTTTCCAATTTTGATCGCAGCGGTCCTTTCCACACAGGTCTACAGAGGTTTTCAAAGCTCATACTGTGCTCAGTTCCTCACCAGAAGGATGCCTGCTCCTCCTGTGACCTGTGGGAGCGGCAGAGAGATGTGTGAATGGTCTCGGTGTGAGGCAGCCAAGAGCAGCTGTGCCCGCAGAGCTGGAGTGAATCCTACCACAGTCTCTTCACAGTGACCCGCTTCCACTTCACGCAGACTATTGAAAAGAATCTCATCATATATATAAACTTATAAAAAATAGATTAACTAGCTTGCTGCGGAAGACAGGTCGAAGCTCTCTGTGTTTCTAAAGGGCTAACCTGCACCAGCCAGCCTTAAACCTCAGCATGGTTAAGCTGCCAGGCCACACAATTCTATGTGTTGAAGCCCCCCAGGTCCAACCATTTTACACACTAGGAATGGGAGGTGCGGGAAGGTTCAGTGAAGATTTAAAAAATTTGCTTAGTTACTGGAAGAACAGAGACTTAAGCCCTAGTTTCTTGACAGGAAATCCTGCACTTGCTTCCAACTGCCTTTCATCCAGATGATGGTCTTTGTGTCTGAAAGCCTGCAGATGGTAACGGGGTTCTTCCCCGAGAGGGAGCTGACACACGAGCTAATTGTCAGTGAGAGTGGACTTCGGGGACACTCTTCCCTCCTCTCCGGACTCATTTTCGTGGCCACCTGAACACGCTGGCTCCGGGCTGGGAGCAAGGAGCCATCCCCTGGCTCCAGGCTCTCTTCACAGCTGCACAGACAGTGAGCTGAGCTGCAGGGCTTGGAGTTCACTGTTCTCTCTGCCAGACCAACCTCTGTTGTAAATTTCCCTCCCGGAACACGTGACGATGCATTTCTTGACTATATATCCCCAGGGCAGCCGCGGAGCTGAGCTGTCAGAGGCTCAGCCCGCCGAGGAGGACGCTCTTGGACTTGGCCACTTAGCAATTCAGGACTTTGGACGAATTTGCCAGCCTTTGGTAAGTTAGTGATGCTACTGGGCTGCAGACACATTTGAAAGGCTATTCCTACCAGTTAGTAGGTGAAGTTTTCCTTTCCTTTTATTTGTGTTTTGTTCCTAAGGAAACTTGTTTTGAATTAAAAATAGTTTTAAGTCGGAGGAGCAAAATGTAAACTTTCTCTTGTCTGCTCAGTTAAAAAAAACAAAAACGTTCCCAGTGGTTACAATGTTAGCTATTTTGTCTGTGCTCCCTTGTCCTTAGACTGATTTTTTCCCCCCCTTTGGTTTGTAAAATTGTAAAAGTGATGCTTTTTAGACGCTCACTCTACGAATTGCAAATATGATGGACACGGAGAGACTGAAAAGTGAAAGTCCTTCTTATGTCCCCCCACCTCCCTGCCTTCTCCCCCATGGACTCCGGCCCCTGCGAGCTGTTCGGTGGGACCGCTTAATTTCCGCTGCGCCTTCATGCATGCAAAGCTTTCCGATGCTGCAATCCCACAAACCTCTGCTGCCCTGCTCCTGCCCCGCGGGCCGTGGGAGAGTGCTAACCTGCAGGTTTCTCCCCAGACCCTGGCCGAGCGAGCAGCGCTTCAATGCTGAGGATGGAGCCTCTGAACAGCACGCACCCCAGCACCGAGCTCCCCGGCACCCCCCTCGAGTCCCATGTCCCCAGCAGCGGCAGCGGCAGCGGCAACGGGAACGAATACTTCTACATCCTGGTGGTCATGTCCTTCTACGGCATTTTCTTGATTGGGATCATGCTGGGCTACATGAAATCCAAGCGGCGGGAGAAGAAGGCCAGCCTCCTGCTGCTGTACAAAGACGAGGAGAGGCTGTGGGGCGAGGCCATGAAGCCCCTGCCCATGATGTCGGGGCTGCGGTCGGTGCAGGTGCCGGTGATGCTGAACATGCTGCAGGAGAGCGTGGCGCCCGCGCTGTCCTGCACCCTCTGCTCCATGGAAGGGGACAGCGTGAGCTCTGAGTCCTCCTCGCCCGACGTGCACCTCACCATCCAGGAGGAGGGGGCCGACGATGAGCTGGGGGAGAACTCGGAGACGCCCCTGAACGAAAGCAGCGAGGGGTCCTCGGAGAACATCCATCAGAATTCCTAGCACCCCCAGGGCTTCTGGAGGTGGCCCCGTCAGCAGAGAGGAAGGACGCTTTTTGTGTCTGGTTTCACTTTTGCAGTGAGGCTGCCTCTTTGAAGAGACCCTCGGCAGGCCCCTGAGTGGATGGTGGGGGCCCAGGCTCAGCCGGAGCCAGCGGCAGCCAGGAGTCCCGGCCGTGCCTGTGGTGCCAACCGCCACAGCCAAAGCCCTGAAGACGTGCAGTGTGCACATTTACTTGGGGCCTGGGGCTCGGGTTCCTGGCCAGAATCTGGCAGGTCCATGTGCTTGCTCGTGTTTTCTCACTGGATGCCCTGGGCAACTCCAGCAGCCTCTGCCCACTCCCAGGACTGCCAAATGCCCAGGACATGCTGGGACACTAGTTTTGATTTATTGATTTGCCCAGAGCTTTGTTCTTCTCAATCTGATTGGCTGTAAGTACCTCTGTGGTGTACCCGTGGCATTCATTCACCAGGGACAGTGCTTCTGGCCTTTTGGGTTGGGAGGGTGACCTTTAAAGGAGGACTTACTGGGAGAAAGCTGGAGCTCTGACCTCGGCCCACTTGCATATCATAAGGGGAAAAAGGGGGCAACCTTTAAAATTGTTAACATTGGCTGGGATTATAAGGCATGACCCTCTCTGTAACCCACAACCTTGAACTCTGACCTGGGACCATCCAGCTGGCATGAAGTTTTTTCAGTTGAAAGGGCTCTCCAGACTCTAACCTGCACTCCTAATGGCCGTGAAGGGGACTTTTCCTGATCTTTCCAGAAAGGGTACTGATGGGGTTGAATGAAGCCAACCCTTAGCTCTACTGCTGCTCAATTCTCAGCCTAATTTTCTGAGCTGGGAGAGGACATAAGGTGGGCCTCGGTGATATGGCCTTGCGTCACGTAGCTGAGACCTAGAAGGGCATACTCAGGCAGAAAGCACACAAAGCTGGGGCCCACGTTCTGTTCCCTGACCTCCGGAGCCCTGACACCGGTTTGCTGTGTGGTCCTGGGCACGTCATCAAGAGGCTTACCGCCTGCATGAGACTCCTGATGATCGGCATCCCCAGGGGGCTGGGAGGATGTCTTTAGATTTTAAGACTCTGTGATAAATCCTGCCTGGCCTGGTGTGAGGAAGCTTGGACCAGATCTTTGCCCCTTGGCCAGTTAGTCTGCAAAAGGATTTGCTTATTTAAAGGAGCAGTTGGAGACTAGGAAGACAAGGAACTGGGAAGTTCAGGGCGAATCACCCACCCATCCAGGCTGTCGTTTTCCCCAGCAGTGAACCAAAGAGGCAGACGCCACATTTTACTCTGCAAAGTTCTCTGGGTGCTGGAATGTTAACCCTCCAGCGGAGGGAACGGGAAACCCAAAAGGAAACACTCAGGAATGCTTGCCGACATCTCCAGCTATTCCTGTGGTCGATAGCTTTGCAGCAGACCCTCTGGGCCCTTGAATATGAGAAGGAAGAGAAACACACCAAAAGGTCAAATTTAATTCTAGTAAAAACAAAAAACTTTTTTTTTTTTTAAATTAAAAGAAACATACTCTCCCTGGGTTGGAGACAGCAATAACTACTGTTCCCACGGAAGGGTTAACAGTGTAGGAGCTGGTTTATCAGCTCGCCTTAACACAGTGCTAGAGGAAATTTATGTTTAGGGGGGGAAAAGGGGCCTCTGTTCACTTTAAAATTCAGAATGTGGATTTACTCCAAAGGGGGCTGTTTAAGGTGAAAGAAGCCAAGTTAAGTTGGCCCCTTGCCTGGAATCACTTGAATTCTGAAACTTTACTGCAATGGACATGTGCGTGGTCACATTTTCCATTGCTTCATCCTGAAGTTTGGTGCAAATCTAGCTGCGCCTATTAAAATAGTGATGTATATACTTCCTTCTTATTCTATTAAGTTGTATAAAATTGTCTTCTGTATTTAACAGTTTGTCATTTTCACTATATTTTTTAATTTAAATAAACAAACACATTTCCCTGAGGAAGTTCTGAGTTCTTTCTTTGATTCTGCAATGTAATTCCTGGTTTCTAAGACATCCCAGGCACATTCTCCCAGCTGTCTCTGGATCCCGGTCATTTTCCAAGTTAGACTCCCACGAAGACATATTTTATTTCTATCTGAATCATGAACTGAACAGGGCTAGGCGTTTCCATCTTGTGACATGCTTTGCAATGAATGAAAAACAAGTTGCAGATAGTCTTACATCAATTTCACTTTAAATTTGATGGCCATGGGGGCCTTTGAACTTGAACGTGCAACTGCTATAAAGATGTTGCTCCAAATTTGGTTGCAAGGACACGTTTGCTTTGAACGTTGGCTTGGCAGATATTATCCACATATGACCGCAGCAGCAAAGACTGATGAGCAGGGAGTTCCTGTATGGACAGCAACAGGCACTTAGGAAAATACTGGAGCACAAAGTCTCTGGTATTTAGATGGCACCTCCTTTTATTCCTAGTCACCTCTGCACGAAGACTGATGTTCTAAGCTCTTCCCACCTGGTCCGGCTGTCTCTCTGGCCCACAGGTTTTATTACTTTATTTGCACAGCCAGAGGTGCTAAAGAAAAATGACCCAAGCCAGGGACCCATTTTGAATCAAGCAGAGGATACAGAACATCCTTACTTTTATGTTTCTCGGTGTCCTGTGAGTTTGGCTTTTCTGTTTCAAGTAAATGTTTCCATTAGGTGCACAAATAGCTGTCTCCCTAAAGGATTTATCTGGTGAAGGTTACAGGGGAGCCTGGATCCTCCCCAAAACACTTCAAGGATCTTCACCCATCAGTTGGTACTTTGACAATGTAAGATGAGAAGACCAATTTAAAAGACAAGAAAGCTCTTCTATCCCAGCTTAATGTCATTCTCGGTAAGGAAATAGTTAAGGAAAGCATTATTACCATGGGCGGAAGAAGAGGGAATTCTAAACTCTAATTGTCCTAAAAATATGCAGAGTACACTATGTCGTTTTAATGGCATCTTTGTTTTCTTTAAAAACACACACACACACAAAACTTCTAAGCAGAACCTAAGGCCCAAGGGGTTTAATCTGTGTGGATTTACTCATGCATGTGAAAAACAGAAAAGGGAATTTGGCTCCGTGTACCTAGGATATTAGAAACATATTTTAAAGCACTTAAATGCTAGGGATGAGGTAAATGGATCATCCATGCTGTTCCAATTACACCTTTGTACGTCAAAGTCAGACAGGGATGCTGCAGAGAAAACTCTCAGGGACAGAATCTGGGATCAAAACTACCGGGAAAGGCTGATGTTGGGCCAAGGAATGAGTGCTCTTGGCTCGTGACTCTGGTTGGAGAGTAGATCCTGTGGTACATTTGAGAACTGCAATTGCAGGGTTTTGCGGTCAGGCATGCACTTCCAGGGCTCAGCTGAAGAAGGGTCATTTATCATCCTCTAAAACACTGCTCTGATCCTAGATGTTGTGGAACAGATAGAACATTGAGCTTGCAATGCAATTGATAGTCCAGGTTTAGACCGAGCAAAATGTGCTCAATTGCCTTACCCCAAATCTGGGTACCCTGCTGGGGAAAATCACCTGGAGTATCATGGGTCAAGGTCAGGGGGCAGCCAATAGGGCTGGCGGGAGACATATCAGCCGACTGGCCAGGAGAGTGGGTCAGCAAGCACTGGACCTTGGGAAGGGAGTAAAGGGGGTTTAGTGGAGGCTCAGTCCTGCTCTTCTAGCTTTCTAGACTAACTCTGCTATTGTGTTGCTCTGTAGCTCACAATGAGAGGACATGCTGGGCTTCCTCTCCTGGGACCTGTTAATTAGAAGAATGGTGAAACATTGAGAGATATTGAGCTCTGCTTGAACCTAAAAGAAAAGCAGCTTCATGCTTCTACTTTGTAAAATGTGTCCTGGGCACCTGTCTGCAAATAAAGTCACTGAAACCTCTTTTTCTGTGAACGGTTTCCTCAGGAGACTGATGTTTAGGGAAAGGACATGACTTGCCAAAGGAGAAGGGTCATAAGAGAGAGAAACCACTGTTCACGTCTGCTTTTTCCTGTTTCTGAAGTGTTTCCGTCCACACAGGAAGGAACAGTTTGGGATGTGAGCTGTTACCATGGAGATAACCAGCCAAGGTCACTTGTTTGAAGGAGCCCATGGCCTCACAGCATTGGATTAGAAAGACTTGATGAAGTTGGGATTTGTTTCTTGACTCAGGCAATGAGCTTTGAGCCCATAGCCACCTCCACCCATGACATGGAGGAGGTACCCAGGGAGTACACTGCTCTCCTTTTGTCCTGGACAACCCCTTCTTTCTTCTCCTTGCATCTTCCTGCCCCATGCAATACAGGGCTGAGCTTTTGCTCTCTCTGCTCTAGGAATTTATTTTCTTACCTTTCCTTTGTTGCTAAGAAACACTATAAAAGGCCTTAGCTGGTTTGGCTCAGTGGATAGGTAAGCCTGTGGACTGAAGGGTCCCAGGTTAGATTCCTGGTCAAGGGCATGTATTTGGGTTTCAGGTCCCTGGCTATGGTCAGGGCATATGCAGGAGGCAACCAATCGATGTGTCTCTCTCACATTGATGTTTCTCTCTTTGTCTTTTCCCCTCCCTTCCACACTCTCTAAAAATCAGTGGAAAAATATCATTGGGTAAGGATTAACAACAAGAAGAAACACTATAAAAGAATTCTTCACATCAGCAACTATACTCTTTCTGTCCTGAAAGATTTTCTACCCCTGTTCAAAGATGGTACATGGCATGTTCTCTCTTGTCTTGGCTCTGGCTGCTATAGCAGAGTACTGTATACTGGGTGGCTTATAAACATAAATTTATTTCTCACAGTTCTAGAAGCTGTAAGTCCAAGGCCAGGGTTCCAGCATGGCTGGGTTCTGGTGAGGACCCACTTCCAGTCTGTAGACGTCTGTCTTCTCATTGTGTTCTCACCTGGCAGAAAGAGAGCAAACTAGCTCCGTGGTTTCTTTTTACAAGGGCACTAATCCTGCTCATGAGGGCTTCACCTTCATAATCTAATTACCTTCCAAAGGTCCATCTTCAAATACCATCACACGGGGAATAGATTTCAACATATGAATTTGGGGAGACATAAATATCAACCCATAACATTCTTTTCCCAATGTCCCTTACTTGTTTCCCCTCTCACTTCTTTCTCTTATGCAAAAGGAACAAAAATAATAATAACCACAATGCATAATACTTATTAGGCACTTATGACATGCTAAGCACATACTACATCCAATCTTTACAACCCCGTGTAT